GAAAACTAAACCCATTTGCCACTGCTTTGAACTCTCGACTAAACAATAAGAACATTTCAATAGCAAGGAAAAGTCAATTAAATGTAGGAGTAAGTGGGGTGCAAATTTTTGAAAAAAATGGAATAAGGAGTTAAAGTGCAAGAGTAGTTCTCTCATATTCCCGTTGCCTCCCAATATTTGCATTCTTCCTTTTTGTAATAAGGCCCCTTCCTCCTTCTCCCTCACACTCAGTCTTATTTTGCCAATGTCCCACAAATAAACTTCTCATTGCGTGTTACGATGTTTGACTTAAATTATTTTTAAAACATTATAAATGAAAAATGGTGTAAAATTTTAAAATAAAAATTACATATTAAAAAACTACTCCCTCCGTCCCAAAAAGATTTACACGTTTTGACTAAAGTGGAAATTAAGAGAGGGATAATTTTGTGTTGACTTTCCAAAAATACCTTTGATGTGATGGGTAAAAGTAGGATGTGATGTGTAGATTATTAGGAAAAAAGTATGATGTGATAGGTAGGGTTTGAAAAAGTAGGGGGTAAAAGTGGTTTTTTAATAGAAATGGGTAGGAGATTGTGGGACGCAATTTTTTTGAAAGGTGTAAATCTTTTTGGGACGGAGGGAGTATATCAAAAGATCTACAAAACTAAAGATGACATGACCATATTATTTTATCAAATGGGTAACGAAAATAGGCCATCAAAATGAATAAACTTTGACCATGTGAATACTGAACGTGAAGTTTTTTTATGCACGGAGGGAAGGAGTACAATATAATTGCACGTTGTCCTTTTGCCCCCTTATAGCCGCTGCCGGCCTGCCATCATCCCAACTAATCGCGCCATCACTGTCGTCCCCTTGCACCGGCAACATCCATCGTCTCTCTCTTCTCAATCAATCCCCACCGGTCCTCGTGCCGCCGCCACAGATCCATCGTCTCTCTCTTATACATTTACATGTTTGGCATTATACATGCATTGGCATGTTTTTCCGTATGCGTTTTTATCTTTGACATTGTTGCTTAGGTTGACATTATAATGGTGTCACTGCCAAGGGAAAAAACTTTCAATACAATGCCAACCAAAGCCACAATGTCAAAGACGACAATGCATACTGACAAATATGTCATTGCATAATGCCAAACATGTTATTGTGTAATGCCAAACATGTCAATATAAAATGTCAAAAAGAAAGTGAAATATCAAGATTGTAAACATACAATGTCAAGTTTCTTATTACTATCACCAAATTTTGCTGAAGTTGGGAGCAAAACTTAAACACACTTGCCTTCAGAACATTACCTGTTTGCACAGAGCATTGATCAAAGAAGAATATGTAATTCTGGATGGAGCGATCCCTTCTTTTATCATTCTTCCTTTCAGTCCAAAGGCTTCAATAATATTACCATTATTGTAGTGCCCCTCAATCAAAGTATTATAGGTGATAACATTGGGAGTTAAGCCCTTTGAGCGAAGCTTTTTGAAAAATTTAAGTGCTCTATTGAGTGGAGAAGAGGGTACTCTTATTTTGGTGGTTTTATCTTTCAACTCCTATTTTAGGATTTAATCAAAGTTTTACTTCTATTTTGCTCCTTAACCCTGCCAGTAATTAAGAAAGTAATATAAAATATGGAGTATATTCATTTCCACGAATGGCCCTTTGTTAACATTTCCGTTAAGAACGTGAATAAAATTGTAAATTCACACTCTTTTCTCTTCTCAATTAAGCTTCCTCCCTCCCCTCGCACTCATTTTCCAAACTCGTCGCTGAGTTTGAAGCTTTGAACCCAAAACTGAAATCATCACTCTTCTCTCAATTGTTTGCCAAACTGGTGGAACCCAAATTCGAAAGCAGTAACCTTAATGGATGAGTTTTAATGTTTATTTTTTTTGCAATTTCTTGAGACTAACCGATAAAACTCATCCATAAAGTTTATTGATTTTGATTTTAGGTTCCACCAGGAAGACTAATAATTGAGAGACCAATGATCATTTCAGTTTTGGGTTTGGAGCTTTAAACTCAGCGATGAATTTAGGAAAGAGTACGAGAGGATGAAAAAAGCTTAATTGATTAGAGAAAGAAGTATGAATATACAATTTTATCCATGTTCTTAACAAAAACGTTAACAAAGGACCATTCGTGAAAAATAATATAATAATTGGGGACTAAATTAGTAATATTTGATATGTAGGGACTAAATATGTAAAACGGCCTATAACTGGGAAACTTTTATGGAATTTACTCAAAATACTAGTATGATGTCATTTTACTTATCTACTTCGTTTTCGTGTTATACATCTGACTAAAAATTATCTTTTAAAATAAATTAATTAGAAAATAATTACTCGTATTAAAAAGTAACTTCCTCCATTTGCAAAAATAATTCATCATGTAGTAGTCATTTTTATAAAGAAATATTTGCAATAAATAGCACTAAAACTTAAGTCATTTCTCTAAATAACACTTAAATTATTTTATTCTCTAAATAGCACTTAATAATGTCCATAATGTCCTGTGATGATGAATATTTACTTGAATAATGACTAATGCATAATGACTAAAAGTGCTACATTAGGAAAAAAACACACGTGGTGCTATTTAGAGAAAGTCATTATGTTTTAGTGCTATTTAAGTAAATTTCTCTATTAAAAATATTTTTCAATATAATAAAAATATTATCGAATCAATCTAGAGAAATTTTGATCATCAATTAAAATAAATTATTGTACTCTATATGTGGATACAAGAACAATATAATATCATTACTCTTATCTCGAAGACATTTTCCTGGAAGGGGAAAGAAAAAGAAAAAAAAAGTAAAAGCTAATGTGGCGCTGTGTTAAAAGAAGTGGAACGGAGAGGGTAGACCCCATAGCCTAATACTGAACATCCGCCATAGGCTCGATGACATTGCACCAAGTTTGATATCCATTTTTTCCTCAGATATGCATTAACAATAATTATTTTTGCCTAGAGCATGCCAAAAATTAAGAAAGTAATATAAAATAAGGAGTATATTCATTTCTACAAATTGTCCTTTGTTAACATTTCCTTTAAAAACGTGGATAAAAATGTAAATTCACACTTTTTCTCTCCTCAATAATTAAGCTTCCTTCCTCCCCTCGCACTCTTTTCCCAAACCTATCGTTGAGTTTGAAGCTTTGAACCCAAAACCGAAATCATCACTCTTCTCTCAATTGTTTGCCAAACTGGTGGAACCCAAATTCGAAACCAGTAACCTTAATGGATGAGTTTTAATGTTTATTTTCTTTGCAATTTCTTGAGACTAACCGATAAAACTCATCCATAAAGTTTATTGGTTTTGATTTTAGGTTCCACCAGGAAGACTAATAATTGAGAGACAAATGATCATTTCAGTTTTGGGTTTGGAGCTTTAAACTCAGCGACGAATTTGGGAAAGAATACGAGAGGATGAAGGAAGCTTAATTGATGAAAGATAGAAGTATGAATATACAATTTTATTCATATTTTTAACAAAAACGTTAACAAAGGACCATTCGTGAAAAATAATACTCTCTTTGTCCCAGAAAACCGTTCTCCTTTCTTTTTTCATCCGTCCCAAAAAACACTTCTCATTTCTATTAAAAAGTCACATTTACCCCTTACTTTTTCATACCCTGCCTATCACATCATACCTTTTTACTAATAATCTATCCATCAAATCATACTTTTACCCATCACATCAAAGGACATTTTTGGAAATTCAATACCAAAATACACTCCCCTTACATCCCTCTCCAAAACCAAAACTCTCATGTTTTCCTGGACGGAGGGAGTATAATAATTGGGGACTAAATTAGTAATATTTGATATGTAGGGACTAAATATGTAAAATGACCTATAACTAGGGACCTTTTATGGAATTTACTCAAAATACTAGTATGATGTCATTTTACTTATCTACTTCGTTTTCGTGTTATACATCTGACTGAAAATTATCTTTTAAAATAAATTAATTAGAAAATAATTACTCGTATTAAAAAGTTACTTCCTCCATTTGCAAAAATAATTCATCATGTAGTAGTCATTTTTATAAAAGCAAAAATATTTTGAAGAAAAACAAAAATTAAAATAGGAAATGTTTCTAAAAATAGTGGGAGCATATTAAAAATATTTTTCAATATAATAAAAATATTATCGAATCAATCTAGAGAAATTTTGATCATCAATTAAAATAAATTATTGTAGTCTCTATATGGATACAAGAACAATATAATATCATTACTCTTATCTCGTAGAAAGATTTAAAAGTTTATTTATTTGTATTAACATGCAATGTAAATTTGATTAAATACTCCCTCTGTTCTAGTTTAAATTGTTTGTTTTGTTTACGATGTTTGATTGAAGTTATTTTCAAACCATTTTAAATAAAAAATGGTATAGAATTAAAAAATAAAATTATGAATTTAAAAAATTCATCAAAAGATCTATAAAATTAGTGGTGACATGACTACATTATTTTATCTATTAACGAAAATAGATAAAGAAAGTGAATAAAATTTGATCATATGAATAGTAAACATGCAATTTAATTTGGGACGGAGTGAGTATTTAAAATTAGTTTAGCTTGATTCAAAAAAATCGAGCCAAAGTGCTAAAACTTTTTTCCTAATAAATATTTACAAAGTCAAATTCTAATCACTCTTTTAACTTAATTCTTTTCGTTAGTAATTTTATAACATAATATAGTCATGTCACCTCTTGTTTTGTAGAAAGTTTTGGTGTATTTTTTAAATATACCGGAGTATAATTTTATTTTTGAACTTTATACCTACAATCAAATAAATTGAATTGAAAATAAAATTGATAAAATATGGTAAACTGAAAGGGAAAGAAAGTTTTGAAGAAGAGTGACTTATTTGGAGTATGCACACAGTTTGTTAAATGTTTGGCATGAAAAACAAACCCAACAGACAGTTAAAAAATGAAATGATCATGTACTCTATATTTAAGGAATATTGGTTCCAACATTATTCCATAATAAGTGATTTTTTCCCCATTTTCTTAGCTCATTCATGCCCACCCTCTCTCTATATATACTCCTATCTTTTTTTTCTTCGGTTTCCAACCCGCCACCCTCCTCCGCCGCCGGCCGGCAACCGCCACCCCATTTCTCTAAGAGGTTAAAAACAATTCAATCCCTATAACAACAGTTTAAAATGACTAGCGTTGATGGTTTCGCGGGTGCGACAGCGCCGCCGTCGGCGGCGGCGCGGTCGCCGTGGCACTCGCCGGTGCCGTATCTCTTCGGCGGCTTGGCAGCCATGTTGGGTCTCATTGCTTTCGCTCTCCTACTGCTTGCTTGCTCCTACTGGCGGCTCTCTGGCTACCTCGAAAACGACGGAAACGAAAACAACGATAGCGTCGACATCGAGGCCGGCGGCGGCGGCGCGCCGCCGGTGTTCGACGAGAAGCTGTTAGTGATCATGGCCGGGCAGGTGAAGCCGACGTTCTTGGCGACGGCGGTGGCGTTCAGAACGTCGTCGTTTGGGAGTAGCAGTAGTAGTAGTAGTACGCAGAGCAGCGAAAGTTGTACCGCGGGGGGAGAAGATCAGGAGAAGGAATAATCTTGTGGAAATGGTTAGTTTGGAGGGCCCAATGGACAGCATATTTTGTAATTGTATGCTTTTTTTAAAATTATTATGGAGTAAAATTCTTTTTATATTTCCATTGCTTTTTCCCCCCTTTTAAGAGTTTTTACCCAAATTATTTTAATCAAATTGTCCGTTTTGACTTTTGAGCATGTTTAAGGAAAAGAAAAAATAAAATTGATTTTTCAAAATTGTCATTACTTTTGTGAGGGGTGACGATGAATTAGAAGATAAAGTAAAAAAGAGTGACTTATTTTATGGGTAGTTTAGGTATTTTATTTTTAATAGTTTACGATAACAACTAACAAACAATTTATTTTGGGACGAAAAAAAGGCAAACATGCGATTTAAAATGGGACGGAGGGAGTACTAAACATACTTCCCCCGTCCTAAAATTAATTACAAATTCTTTTTTTTCCCTCTCTCCTCTCGATAGAAAATCAAATGAAAAGATTAAATCTAGACGAGGAGAATATAAAATACTTCCTCCATCCCTAATTCATATAATCTTTATACAAAACAAGTAAAATCTTTAGTTTTTTCAATTCATTGTATTTAAAGATTGGTATATAATATAAAAATTCTGAAACAAAAGGTGACAAGAATATTTTATTTCACCAAATAATAAATGAAAACACACACATAAATAAAAATTTCCTGGATTTTTGAACAGTAAAATATGTAAATCATTTAGAAACGGAGGGATTGGAATGCTAATTTGTATGCCATTTTGTACACCGCGGGGATCGATGCACCAACATTTATGTTGGTGTAATGCTAATTTTTGTTAACGCATCAACACTTTGTGTCAGTATAAATTTTTATTAACGCACTAACACTTTGTGTCAGTGTGAACCATTAAAATGTTGGTGTATACATTTGGTATATAAATATGGTACAAATTTTGGGGTACGCGTGCTCCTTTTTTTTATTCCCTCCGTTCCAAAAAGAATGTTACATTTCATTTTTTTGCGCATCACAAAAAGCACGGCTACTCACATCTAAAAATTCTAAAATTTACCATATTTACTCTTTATTATAAGATGAAATTATTTTGAAAGTTTTTTTGGCATTTGAGACGATATAAAAGTGTTTTAAGGGATGCACAAAAAATGAAACGTAACATTCTTTTTGAGACGGAGGGAGTATATTAAAGAATAGTAAAATTAACGACGACACCATTTATAAATCAAGCCTTTATTATACCACCCTCCAAAGAAAAAGCTTAGACGCAACATGCATATATCACGTGAAGTACAAGGCCCACTGTTTTGCCTTTCCCTTTTTAAACCTATCCAGATTAATAATAAAAAGTAGGGTATATATATGTATTTGGTATTTAAAGAGATCTTAGCATAATTGCCGACACAATTGTCAGGAATCGAACTCGAGTTCTATCCTTTGACACTTCTTACCTTGTCAACTGTGCTATATTCACTGACAGTCTTTACCTTTTTAAAAGCAATGTTTCTCATACATATAAAGTATTTTAGAACAAAATGTTAAAATGGTATTTTAGAATATTTAACTATTTATCACGAGTTTAGTTTCTTATTCAAGTGATTAATTATATGATTAAGCAATGCCAAATTAAGCAAAAAAAACAAATGAAATTAAGCAATGCCAATTTGGGTATTTGAAAGTTATGAAGCAAAGGAAAAACTATTATGTAAAGTAGAGATTTATGTAAATGAGGAAGAAAGATTATGAAGAATTTAATTTTCTTTTCAGGTCATCATGTGAAATTTATTTTGAAACAAATAATAAAAAGTACGACACCGAAAACAGTTAATTAGTTTTATGTAACATTTTGTGGGGGGCTTACGGCGGGGTTGGGGTGGGGTGCAGGGGTGGGGGTAGGGTGGGGGGGTTTAGGGGGTGGGTTAGGGTAGGTAGGAATCGTCAATTTTGCGAACGGAGCACCGGAGGTGCCCCAAAATGCCGGTGGCACCAGAGTGGCATCGGATTCCAGTGGCACTGGAACCGGCCGATTCAAAATTACAAACCAGAAGACGCTTTGATGTGAGACGCGACTCACTCTCGAATTAGTTACTTTCAAAGGACAACATCAAGTATCGGCTTCTTATTTAATGCAATGAATATCTCCTTTTAAGTGTCGCAAAAGTACAAAATACATGACACACACACACACATATGTACCTTAATTAATGTGATTTTATTCTTTGTTATTAGGAATTTGTTAGGATATCTAATTTTTAAGAAAAATGCTAGGGGTACACCAACTGGTGTACTTCATTTGTCCCTCACCCCCTCCTCCACTATACAAATGGGCAAAAAACTTAAAAATAAATAATTAATTAAAAATGAAATACAAATGTGTGGTGGAAAATGGGGTGGGGGACAAATGGGGTACACCTTTGTTGTACCCCTAGCATTGCTCAATTTTTATTAACTCTCTCCACTCGATAACTTTTATTTATTTATGTGTTTTTGTTGATTATTTGATAAAATAAATTATTCTTGTCACATCTTGTTTTGTAGAACTTTAGACGTAGTTTTTTCAATATGTAATTTACTAATTTTTATTTTTTTTATTGATATACGAATTTATATATAAAATGATTTCAAAAATTATGAGATTTTACATCGTAATTCCCATTTTATAATCAAAATAGAGACAGAGGGAATAATATTTCATAAAGCGCATATTTTCCATCCAAGTTTTCAAAAAATGTAACATTAATCTTTATATTTTTTATAAAATGCATATTTTACCCTTGAACTCTTAAAAAGTACTATGTTTTTGTCATGAACTTTCAAGTTAAAGTCCTATTAGTTCTATCTTCTGATTCCAGTTTGGTCAAAGGTGTTGTTGAACCAAACAAAATGTTTATGGTTTAAACATTCACCATTTTAAAAAAATACTATGTATAAGACTAATGGTACACTTTTGCAAGTTCAAGGAGAAAGCACGCACTTTATGAAAAAACTTAAGGACTAATAGTGCACTATTGAACTATTGAGTGTTTAGGGAGAAGACTTGAAATTTTTAAATATTCAAGAGTAAAACATACACTTTATTAAAAGTGCATGGACTAATAGTCCATTTTTAAAGTTAAAAGTAAATGGACCAATAGTGCATTTTTAAAGTTCGAATGGAAAATGTACACTTTGTGAAGAGTTTTGGAGTATATGATGCAAAATAATCAATTTTTGTATATGTCTAGATACTTGTACTTCTGTTGAAGGAAAAAAATACCAAAATAAGAGTAAAATATGAAGAAAGTATCAAAATAAGAGATCTACGTTTTTATAAACTTATCATTATAATTAAAAAGGAGTAATAAGAAAAAAAATATTTTATCATTATTTTTTATCACATTATATTTAATAGAGTAAATTCCCTAAACAATACCTAATAACTATGAACATATATTGTGAAATAAAAACATATCAACATACGTTTTTATAATTAAAAAGGAGTAATAAGAAAAAAAATATTTTATCATTATTTTTTATCACATTATATTTAATAGAGTAAATTCCCTAAACAATACCTAATAGAGTAAACTGGAGTATGTATTTTCCCAAATAAGTCTCCAAGATGGACCAACTACCGAGATAATACTTGTTAATTGAGAAAAATGCTTATTAGTTTAGTCCTCCGACTAACAATCGTCATAACAACTTCAAAGTGACGTCAAAACTTACATTAATTCTCAGAATGATCCTTTCTAAAAAATGCGTGTTTTCTCAAGTGGGTCCATTTTTGAAATAAAAAGTCATTAAATATAGAAAAACAGTTTTAAATATTATAGGATAAAAATATAATAAATAAAACTATAAATATTAATTAATAAACTAGAACGTAAATGTAAATTAAATGTTTAATAAACTCCGTTCCAAAATAATACTCTTGCTTCGGTTTGCGATGTTTGATCGAACTTATTTTCAAATAAATATAACAGAAAATTGATCTATATTTTTCTATAAACATGAGTCTTATTTTGGGATGAAAGGAATAATAAATATTTTCTTTATATGATATTCTTCTAAACAATTGTGAACAACTTGAAATGTTTACTTTAAAATTTATAAAGTTATATTTATAGTTTTATTTATTAAATTCTCATCCCACAAAATTTAATTTTTTTTCATATTAATGAGTTTTTATTTTCAAAATAGAGCAATTTGAAAAGATACACAACTAGAAAGGACCATTTTAAAAATTAGTATAAGTCTTAACGTCGTTTTGATGCCTGTTAGTCGAGGGGCTAATTTTAGCATTTTTTAATTAACGAGTGTCATCTCGGTAATTAATTCATCTCAGAAACTAATTTGAAAAACACATAGTTATTGAGTACCGTTTTGGAAATTTACTCTATTTAATATTAAAGTAAATTATTTTGAAAATTCTTTACTTAGCAGGCGGCCAGTTAGGTCGGTTTGGGATTTTAGTCGGATTTTACTTATTTTTAGCAGATTATTTTCATCTCCGAGTTCAGTTAAAAAAATCTTTGTTTAGAATTAATTATTTTCAGATCAAATATTAGAGAAATATTGGTCAAATCACTATTTGGATCAATATAAGAATTGGAAAGGTGATCTTTTGATACATCCGTGGCTTTAAATTGGATTATATTCCATCTTCATTTTTCCTCGTCAATTATCAATCGCATATAGATCACAGCTCCACAATTTGTTGTGCCATCAAATCCCATAGATTACAAAAAAAAAATCACTCTTTTTACAGTAGCAAAATGAAATTTCCAACTTGACTTAGATATATACTCCGTACATTATTGCCAGTATAATATACACCTTCCGTCCAAAAATTATCTTCTTGTTTACTATTCATAAAGTTAAACTTTATGCATTTTGTTGGCCTATTTTCGTTATCTATTTGATAAAATAATATAGTCATGTTAGTTCTAATTTTGTCGATCTTTTGATATATTTTTTTATGTAATTTTTATTTTTAAATTTCACACCATTTTTTATATAAAATGATTTAAAAATAACTCCAGTCAAACATTGTAACGCGCAACGAGAAGATAATTTTTGGACGGAAGGAGTAATACCTTCCAATTGAATTTGACATTTCAAATAACAATTTTTCTAATTTATTTACACAAATAATGTAACCATAAACTATCTGTTTCAATTTCACCCTCTCTGCGAATAGCTATTATCTTTAATGTCAAACATGGAGTCATTATAGCATGATTTAAAAAAGGATGACACTCCATCCCCGAGGGTCCCTCCGCATCGACCGAATAGTTAGCTAGCTAAG